AACCCCAAAACCCCAAAACCCCAAAACCCCGTAAGACTCTTTTCTTCGAAATATTGAAGATATTACAAATTTTAGAAGCATTAATTTAATTAATTTAATCTAAAGTAATGAGAGGCTTTGTGAGTAGCAGCTAAAATAAGTCAATTAATGTACTCTTCAGTTTTAGCTTAATCTGTTTAGACCAACACCTACTAGGGAAGAGGAAGTTTTTCAAATGCTGACTAAGAGTCGCTTGAGGAAACATAAGAGTACTAAAAAACTAGTGCAGTTAGTTTTGCTAGAAACTCAAACATTTTGTCTAATATGAATAAGTATGGAATACCGATTCTACCGAAAGGAAATTAAGCATTAGCAGAGGATGATGATCCTTTTGATGCGTATATGAGATAGATTGAAAATTAAGCAACTTTAGAGAATGAATAAACTCTTAAACACTAGTAAGAACTTGAAGAGAAAGCTCTTAAAAAACTCTTAAAGAAAGATGGCAAGGGTGTACTAACAGGAAATCCCTTAGACAAAGATGAAATAGAGAATGAGGTTGCAGAAGACATTGATGCGAAAAATGATAGTTTTAAGCACAAAAAGATTGAGTAATTTCATAGTAAGAACTTCAAATATGATGACTCTGATGAAGAAGATGTAAAACCTATTTTAAAAATATTATGCTTATAGGCCTATATGAAAAACCCTAGAGGTGGTGATATGGATGATTTAGATGAGGAACTAATTAATAAACAGGAAAAAATATTGGATGAAAATGGGCAAATCGATTATGAGAAACTAAGGCTGATGGAGAAAAAAGGAATTTAAGCATTGCAAGCACTGGATCATTCCTAGATTGAATATGATTAGTTTGAGAAGAATTTTTATAAAGAGCATCCAGATATTACAAATATGAGTTTTGATTAGATCAACTCCATAAGGTATGATTTTAAACTATCTATCTTTGACCTTAATATCATTTAGGAGAGAGTTATTAATCAGGGTAGAGGGAGAAAGAGTTCCAAGACCATTCACTGCTTTCAATCATTTGCTTGTTGATTAATGGATCAAAGATTAAATCAATAAGGTTGGCTATGAGAAGCCAACACCTATTTAAAGCTAGGCTCTGCCTTGTACTCTACAAGGTAGGGATGTTATAGGTATTGCAAAAACAGGCTCAGGAAAGACTCTATCTTACCTTATTCCAATGCTAGTTCATATCTTGGATTAAAGACCTTTAGAAAAAAATGAAGGACCTATTGGTTTGGTTATGGCTCCCACAAGAGAACTCTGTCAATAAATATACAATGAATATAAAAAATATGCAAAGAGATATAATGTGAATGTGCTTCCTATTTTCGGTGGAGTTAACTAACATCAAATCTGGAAAGATATTAAAGCAGGAAGAAATGAAATTATAATAGCAACACCTGGAAGATTAATAGATATGATCAGGAAAAAGGCATTCAATTTGGCAAGTAGATGCACATTTTTGGTTATCGATGAAGCAGACCAAATGTTTAATATGGGTTTTGAATATCAAATTAGGTCGGTAGTTGGACAAATAAGACCAGACAGATAAACACTACTTTTTTCTGCAACTTTCAAGTAGTAGACATAAAATCTCTGCAGTGACATATTGATTGATCCAATTAAGATTATAATCGGTAAAGTCGGAGTCTCTAATGAAGATATAAGTCAGACAGTGCTTATATTCAAAAAGGATATGGATAAATTATAGTGGCTAATTGAATCTCTTGGTAATTTTCTCATTAGAGGGAATCAAGTGCTAATATTTGCAAATCAAATTTAAACTGTAGAGTAACTAGAGAAAGATCTAGCTGTGGTGTACAGAACTAAGGGTCTAGCATGCTTACATGGAGATAAGACATAATTTGAAAGAACTCATATTTTTGACAGAGTCAAGAAAGGAGAGATTAATATACTTATATCTACTAATGTTGCCAGCAGAGGGTTGGATATTCCGAATATAAAAACTGTCATTAACTATGATTGCGCCAAGGATAAAGATGATCATGTGCATCGTATAGGCAGAACAGGTAGAGCTGATGATAAGGAAGGAGTTGCCTACACTCTCATCACTAAAAATGAGTCAAGCAAAGCTACTATGCTGATAAAGATCCTTGAGCAATCTAATCAAATAGTTAGTGAAGAACTTGAGGAGTTAGCATTGAGTGATCCGAATTTCAGAAAGAGCAGAGTGACTATTGGCATAAAGAATTTCAATATGAAGATTAATGTTGCTAAGGAGTCAAAAGAGATGAAGAAGAATGCTAGAAAGATTGGAGATAGAACTGGAATCGGCTTCAGTACTAATGAAGGAAACAATGATGAAACTGAAACTAAGAAAATGAATGCATAGCAAAAAAGATCAGCAGATCTTGCATTCAAAGAGGAGATGATAAATCAGAAGATAGCGAGGGAGGCTTAATTATTATTTTCTCAGAATAATGGTGGAAATATTCTTGATCATATGGATGAATACTCAGAGAGATTCAAAGACACCATGAAGATGCAATTCAATCAGACATTTGTCTCTTCTGGCAAGGTATAAACAACAACTAAGGAGGCAACTGTAACATTTGTTACTAAGGGAGACAATGCAACAAGAGAGATTGTCAGGCTAGAGGAACTTGAAACTCCTTAAATTAGTACAGAGATTTACTAAATAAAGAAAGCTTAGGGCTCAAGAAATCTTTATAGAGATTATAGAGGAGATAGAAGAAGATCTTAAAGTAAAGATAAAAAAAGAAAGAGAAGTAGAAGTAGCAGTTATAGTAGCAGTTCAAGCAGCAGAAGTAGAAGTAGAGACAGAAGAAAAAGAAGATCTTCAAGTAGAGATCGAAATAGTCTTTCAACCAAAAGTCATAGAAATTCTGACCCTTATCATAGAAATTAAACCAAAACAGATAGACATTACTCTGATAGAGATAAAAAAGAAAGCTATAGAAGTCAAAGACATGAATCAAATAAGAATAATTACTCTTCCTCATCAAAAAGTGAAAAGCACAGAATAAGAGGTGATTATCATGACAGTAAATCTAGATCAAGAAGTAGAGATAAATATAGAGAGAATAACTTTGATAGATAAGGTGAAGCTAAACAGCAGGAAAATACTAGGAAAAGAATCAGTAAATGGGATATCAAACCATAGGATTCTTGAATGTGCTGAAATAAAATTAATTAAAACTTAATTTAATAAATTCCCTAATTTTATTATGATTTATTCTTATGGGGTTTTGGGGTTTTGGGGTTTTGGGGTTTTGGGG